ACATAAAATAAGCTTTAATTTGATATATGTTTAAAGGACGCAGTATTTCCGGAACATTTTCAAAAATTAAGTTGAAAAAGTTAATTTTTGTAAAAAAGTTGCTATTTTAAATCCCCCCCAATGAGCAGATTGTGTTAGATTTTCAAAAAAATGATATCAAATGAACGGGAAATATCTAAAGTTTTAGTAATAAAAAAAAATTATGTTGATTTGTTTATTTTTGAAAAAGTTATGGAAGTTATAAGAAAAAAACCCAGCACAGGGGGGTCGCGGCACAGTGGTGACGTGGCATAGTTGGATCAAGTATAATGATATCTGACAGTGATTAAAATCACTATCAAAAAAAAACGCTTCGATGCAAATCTTTAGATAGTGTTTAATTTTAAAAAATTGGTGGATTATTCCAAAAGCTTCATAAACTGCTAGTTCCTTATTAATATCCTGATTAAGATAAAGTATGTCGAATGAAAAAGGGATTATTAAAAAATAGTATTTCCCATAAAAAAATTATATTGATCAATACACTTTTCAATAAGTTATAGCATTATAATGTTAAAAATGTAAAAAATAAAATTGAGAATTTTCACACAATAATAGCATTTGGTAGCCATTTTCACCTTGAAGATAAAATAAAGTCCGAAATTTTTTTTTTCCATGATAAAGTATATTACATTAGCTTTAATTTAAGATATATATAAAAGTGTCAGACTTTCCGGAACACTTTCAAAATTTAAGTTGAAAAAGTAAATTTTTTGTGAAAAAGTGGTCATTTTAAATCCCCCCCTGTGGGCAGGTAAAGGGTCAGATATAAAAAAAATATATACCAAATGATAGGTAAAGACATCATGCATCTATAAAAAAAGAATTATATTGATCCATACATCATTCAAAAAGGTATAGCATACAGTTAAAAACATAAAAAAGAATATTTTTACAAAAATCGTATTTTTTTTATTAAGTTTAATGTCTGTTTTCACCATGAAGATAAAATAAAGTCCGAAATTTTTTTTTACCATAATAAAGTATATTACATTAGCTTTAATTTAAGATATATATAAAAGTGTCAGACTTTCCGGAACACTTTCAAAATTTAAGTTGAAAAAGTAAATTTTTTGTGAAAAAGTGGTCATTTTAAATCCCCCCCTGTGGGCAGGTAAAGGGTCAGATATAAAAAAAATATATACCAAATGATAGGTAAAGACATCATGCATCTATAAAAAAAAAATTATATTGATCCATACATCTTTCAAAAAGTTATAGCATTATAAAGTTAAAAATATAAAAAAGAATTTTTTTACAAAAATCGTATTTTTTTTATAAAGTTTGATGTCTGTTTTCACCATGAAGATAAAATAAAGTCGAAATTTTTTTTTTACCATAATAAAGTATATTACATAAGCTTTAATTTAAGATATATATAAAAGTGTCAGACTTTCCGGAAGTTAAACAAAA